AATTAATGCATCAAGAAACCAAAATAGGATGGGCGTGATTATTTTATTGGAATACACAGAGAGTGTATCAGTCACCTATTGCCTCTGCTCCCCAGACTGTGCTTGCCTGCAACTATCCCGCTCACATATACACACCACTGGTTATTACTGCAAGAAGATCTGCTTTGTGTTTTTAATTAAGTATCAAAATTTTCAGAAAAATTACTGCCTGGCCACTCCCCCCGCCCCCATTTTCTGTGAAACAAAATTGAAAGGCATTTTGTAACTTCTGTCTAAACTGTTACTGAAAGGACAGACAGCATACACAGTCATAACGGGTGCTTAAAATAGACTGCTCCCACCCCAAATGTTCATCCCTCTTCCACCGATTACCATGTTTACCCAGTCCCCATTTCACTTCTTCACTTCCTACCAAGTCTTTTCAAGCCTTTAAAGTGAAAGCCAGTGAACTTGCTGTTTAATGTAAGCATTACTTTGGTAAAAATAGTTTTACTGTACAAAAAACCACGGAAGAAACAGAATGAGAATGAAAAAATGAAGAAACAGAAGAGCAACCTCAAGGACAGCACTTTAAGGAGGAAAATGAAAGGCAGGCAAAGGAGGAAGAATCAGGATTCTCATTAGAGATCTTAGATGCCTTTTGATTGAAGATTGCAAAACCCTGCTGTTGCCATGCTAGATTAAACATAAAACAGTAGTAGAGAAAAGATTTTCTCTCTCTTGTTCCTTTAAGTTGTTAAGCTGTGTTTGACATACGGAGCCTATTTTCTTGTTTCTTTTTAGTGGGGTCATTCCAGAAGTGCATGCTAGAGGTGTTGTGTTTAATTGGTATCATTATTTTTAACAGCCTCTTCAGTTTGCCAAGCCAAAATCCATACTGCAATACCTTTGCAATTACTTTATTGTTTTTGTAACGTGGAATCAAGAAATCACTAGCAGAAATTCCTCTTTGCCTCACAGAAGTAATGCTGCATCACAGTACGAACAACTTCCAGGAACAGCATTTGACCACTCCGACATAACAGATACAAGTGACTTAAACATCTAAACATGGAAAGTTTTGATGGATAGCTACTATAAATACAGTTTACTATGTCATTCTAAGAAACACACTTTGTTCTCTCTCTTGTGCAGTTCAGATCAACAATCAGATGGAAGGGACAACTTTTTCAATAAAATGGTAATTTTTTTTAGTTCAGTATACATAATACTGTGTTTGAACTCATCGTTAACCTAGCCATCAGATGCCTCAATTAAAGCTTACCTAAAAACCTTCTGTTTAGAATACCTGTAATTTACTCAAAATAAAATTTTAAAAGTTTGTGAAATATTTATGCTGTGAAAATAACATTCCAAAAATTACTACAAGTGAGAGTTTCTTGAATATGAGACAGGACAAGTAACTTGCAGTTTAAATATCTACTGAAACAATGGACCAAGAAATGCAGGTGTTTTTTGCCACTCTGAAATTTAAAGTTTCGTATTCAAAATTACAACACTAATGTATGCTTATTAGTAAAAAAAGATGCAACAGCAGGAAAGCTTGGACTTCACATACCAAAGGAACCGATAACTACAAAACTGCCACTAATTGGATTGTAAATCCTCACTGACAGACTCTCTCCAAACAGACATTTAACTACAATGACATCTTAGTGAGGTCAGAGATGACCAAGTGTAAACTACTCGACAGTTGAACTTAGCCTACAAATATTTAAGTGTCTTGAGATGCCTTTCCCTTCAGACATTTGAGGTTTTTATGAAGCAATTACCCCTTTCTTACAAAAAACACGGCAGACATACTCTTAGTGGCTTATGTACTGGAGTGAAAGAATGCCATTTATGGCAGAAAGCCTTTTCTGTTTCTCAATATGGTCTTTAAGTATCTTTGTGATGTACTGACTGATCTCAGTAAAATTATATTGTTACATTAAATAAATATATTTACTTAAAATGAGAAAAAGTCTGCCAAGAAGTTCTCAGGATTCTTGGAAAAACAGTTTTTCAAGCATAACACAAGATCTTTGCCCCTGAAGGATGCATCCATGGTTATGAACTGGCTGAAACTTCTAGAAAGAGCATTTCTTTAAATATGAGGGCTGAGTAGTCAGAAAGCTATGCAATAAAATGGCATTTTAAAAAGTTATTTAGGCTCTTTGACTTGAAATTCTTTCCATGTCTATGCAACCTAACATGCAATAACTACACATTTTGATTAAGAGAAAAGATGGAGAAATACCATGAATGCGTAGATGGTCAAATTTAAAACCCCCTATTTAGGTTACCTACCAGCAAAACCTTTTAAAGAGATCTCTGCATAAGCTCACTAAGTAAAGTTCAGTCCTCAGGACATTCTTTTATCTGAGCAGAAGGCTGAAGATCACAACTGTTCTTCCAGGCAAAGCATCCAATCCTGGTGCCAGGTCTACAGAGTAACATTCCATGAAGAACAGCGTGCTGGCTCTCATGATCTCAGCTACGATAAACCTTAGGCAAATACGACTGCACTATTAACTTCCATAACATTCTGTCATGGGAACAATGCAGTATTTCTGTAGCTTTTCTTAATATTCTAAAGCTTTCCTCTTTCTAAATCCACATGGATAGCCAATATAGAAGGAATCATAAATCCAAGAGCTATTAAAAAAGAAAGCAAAACTGCATCTGTTTTAATGGAAGCATCACTTGAGACACGGGTTCAAACTTTTGTAAGACGACAAATTATTAAGCTGGTCATAAAGTCAAAAGGCAGCTATTTGATCGTCAAGAAAACCCCAAGGGATGCAAACATAAATAGCTTGCACTGCAATTAAGCTAACAGACAATGTTATAGCTATGATAAATGCTGACCCGATGGAGAAAAATGTAAGAAAACATTCTCTTCTGCGTTTGCAAGAGGCTACCTAGGGAGCACCAATAAGGTGGCTTTATATATCTCATGGAACGGTACAATTTTAGTCATTTTATAATAAAGAGGTTTTTGGAAGGACTATATTCTGGTTTACGTTTTCTTTCCACACAACAAGCAGAAATTGCCATCATACTTCAACACAGGCAAGGCACAGGCACTGCTTGACTTCACTGCAAATGTTCAGAGACTGTTTCTAGTCAGGCATTCAATGGATTTAATTTAGGACATCATACTTCAAATATAGCAGAAAAAAAAACCCAACATTGTTTCTGGAATAGCAAACCTTGCAAACAGTCATGGTCCTAAAACACAAGCTTTCAATGATTTAGGGTCTTTTGATTTGTTCTTTCTGACCTCTGAGTCAGGAAGTCAGGTGTGACCAGCAGTATTAAGTAGCTTTGTCATCCATTATGTAGAAGGAAAGAACACTTGCCTGACTGTATCAGGTCATCAGCTTAGATGTGACAGACTCCTTGCAGAATGGAAGAAAGGCATAAAGACCAATTCTCCAATTAAAATAGAAATCTCTCCAAAACAGACAATACTTCATTTATCCTACAAATTAACGTCCAACTTTCTTTATAAAAAAAAAAAAAGGTATCTGTTTCAGAATAATCTCAGCTACTTTAGTTCTCTAGATTAGTTGCAAACTTTTGTTGTCCTCCTTTGCTACAAATGAATAGTGCAAAATGAAAGTTTGCCACTACGCACATAGAGTTATTGCCTCCCTTCACTACTGGATTGACTAAAGCCAGTTCTGAAATTTTTTTCTGAATTTTTATGGGAATGTCTGCACTGGACCAGTAGAAGCATATTTCCCTAGTACATCCAGGGCCTCAGCCAGGAAGTTCAAGACGATGTCACTAATCCGTTCTATGAAAGAGTTCCAGTCTGCCCTTAAAACTGCGACTTGTTAAAATTGGTATCTTCTGTCAACTTTAAAACTTCGCATCCTGTCCCATTCCCAAGCATGTCTCACTCTTCCACCCCCTCTTCTCCTGCCTACACACCTTGCCTGAGCGATGCTAGCCCAAGTCTCACCTTGCCTGAGCGATGCTAGCCCAAGTCTCACCTTGCCTGAGCGATGCTAGCCCAAGTCTCCCGCCCCCTGTCTTGTTCTGCCTTTACTTGGGGATCAACAGTAGAGTATGAGAATATGTGTCAGAATATAAAGCGCTTACTCCCAAATCTTTCTAAGATCATCTGAACTATTATTAGTAATTAAAAGCTGAATAAAATGGAATTAAATTTATAATTATTTTGTCTAACATAGGTCCTTGGTAACAATTTATTGAGAAAACTGTCAAAACCCCAACTTAATTATTTCCTGGTATGCTATGTACTGATTTTGGAAAGAAGAGTCAGTAAAGAACTCTTGCTTTTATAACCTTGTTCTATGAACACTTATAGCAACAAGAAATTTAGGTACTTCAGTAACACACAACTTATGGGAGTTAATCATGACAAACAGAAGTCACCTGGAAAAAATGTAACTTATTGACATGCCTCTTGAAAAGCTACACAAAGAAACCCCCACACTTCATTTTCTTCTGACCTTGCCCAGTGGTTGCGGGTGCCTGAAGAAGAGCACAGAGAATGCAAAGGCTTTTATCTCCTCTTTATATAGCACTATATAAGAAAGTATGTGCTTACTCTGTTCAATAAATCAATTTCTTCCTTCAGCTTTCCAATTAGTTCCTCTTTGTCCTGTGTCATCTTCATTAATCTTGCATTTTCCTGTCTCTCCTTTGCAAGTTCCTAAAACCAGAATATACAATGAAGTTTGAAATGTAATTTTTGTTTTTAAGAGACAGTTTTGATTTATTAACATTTAAAACAAACAAACAAAAAAGAAAAACACACACACACTTACCTACAATTCCTTTTCTACACCAACTCAAACCCACATCTTCAAGCCCTTACATTTCAAGGAGCTAAAGAATCACATCTAAGAAAATATTTTACCCACAGCAAACCGGTGTGATATCTCTGATTCCAAAGATAATGTTTAAATTAATATTTAACTTAAGCATGAACCCAAAATTGGATAGGGGCCCAAAACAGAAGTAAATAAATGTAAAGTACCAGCTTCCAAATTTGTTGTATTGGGAGGGTTACTCATCCTTTTTTTTTTTTGGTTGGTTTGTTTGGAGGGGTGGGTTTATACTACCGTTAACAAGGAATGAAGACTCACTGTTAGATCTGTGGGCCTGAATGTGAGAAAAAAATGAAAATGTTCATTAGGAATTCAGTAAATCAGGGTTCAGGATATTGAAAGAAAGCCCTTAAATCTTCCTCTATTTTCTGTGTTACTGGCAGTTAGATTATTTCAGAAGGAAGCTGATTTGGAAGGGAGAATTACAGTGTACTTCACTCAAATCAGGCTTCCCCAAGTCTTCAAAAAAAGTAATTTCTACAAAATATGCTTTATTTTCAGCCTTTCCAAAAAAAGATCTATTCGAATTGTGTTTATTTAGTAACCTTCATCCATACGAAATCAAGAATATTTGGCAAGTTACACACAAAAATCCACTTCAGAGGAAGACAGGGAAGCCAGTAATAGATTACACAGATGACATTATTTAGCAAAATACTGTTTTAGGTGAAAATCTCAACTTTAACGTTATTACATTTTCCCAAAGTTGTCTGTATGAAGAATGTCTGAAATAATGAAAACTTTGTTTTAAATATATATTTTAAATGTTTAAAACTTTAACAAACTGGGTAGTAATTAAATTTTATATTTCAGTACATTAAAAGAAAATCCGAAACAAGCAGTAGATCGGAAGCAGGCTTGCTAATTTTCTGAACAGCCAGCGAGTCCCTCCTTCCCCCAAGTTATCTGCCCTGTGTTGGTGTGTCACGAGGTACATATGAGAAATACACAGAGCACTGCTGGCTCTCTAAGTGTATGATCTTTACCTCAACTATTTCTCACTCATATACCAAATGAAAACTAAACGTCTGTGTTTAGAAAGTTCACATTCTTCTCAGTCAGTCTGACTCTTTATAAGTTTTTACAGACAAAACTATCTGTACTTCAAGCATTTAGCATCATTTCTAGATATTTTACTTGTAAATTTCCCCATGGAGTTTCAAAGGTACTTTATTTCACCTGTATGCCATGCAGGTGTTAGTTGGTACTTACCCTTTCAAGTTCCTCAATCCTCTTTTCCAAAGCATTACTTGGTACAGAACTGCCAGAAGAATTTGCATCCCTGCTGTATCTGCTGTAAGTTGTCCTGTCTGTTCGGGAGTATCTATTTGGAGCATCGTCTTCTGGTGCATTAGCTGTGCTACAAAGGCAAAGAGCAAAGCAGACACCTATTTACACATTTAACAAAATGGAAACGATAGAAGTAACAAGAAGTGCTTTCCAAAGCACTCAATAGATCGGTCTAATAAACTGCAGAGAACTTATTTCACAGCTCTTGTGTGGCTGAGAACTCACTAAATTCACTGCCTCAGGGAGCTGAATACTTGGATAATGCAGCTCTCATCACATAGGTAATCAACTTTAAAACCATACTTATACTTACCCTATCTTATTTTTAAAGATTTAAAAGTTGTATATGAACTGTGCACATTAAAAACCAAGCTAAACAACTTTATTTTAAAAAGCAAAATACCACTACGGTGTTTAAACCAAGCATCATCTTAAGTAGATTAAAACATAAAGGATGAAATACAAGTACATGTCCAAAATGTAAGAAGCTTACACGTATCTTTTCAGGAACTATGGAGATGGCCTGTAAGGAACTGGAAAGCAAACCAAAGTGAGAAAGTGATGTGGGCCCAACGTATTAATGTTATGCCATTTCCAAATATTTTACTTCAGAACTTGGATACACAGCAGTTTGTCACAGCTCAGTTGGTAGGCACTCACTCATTAACTGGTGATATGTTTTTTCCTTTAGATCATGTGTCTATTCCTCAAAAATCACTGCAATGGAATCTTAACAGAATCTTAACACTGCAAATGCACATAAGCTAGTTTTAAAAAAGCTTACGGATTCTCCATTGTGATTGCTATGCACAAAACCAGTGCTATTTTAAAAAAATATATATTACAAGTCAAGCATTTTCAAAGTCACAAATTTAACAGTGTTCTTCCCATAGCTATTTTCTTCCTAACAGCAATGTTATTTACCTTCAATGTAGAATCTAATGAATAATTAAGAGCAGCAGAACAGAGCACCCTGGGACCAGGCAGAGAGATACAGATCTTTCACTCCCCAATCCACCAAAACCACACTACTTTGACTTTGAAAACATACAGCTAAACAGCCAAAGACAAAAAACCCCCTTGTTCAGTCTTCACCGGGAGAACTCGAATGGAGACACTCAAAAGCTGTCTGGACATGGTCAGAGTATATGATTGACGTGTTCATTTAACAGTTTTGCATTTCATAACTCCAGAAAACCCCTGCTGACAATGTGCAAATCTAGATGGATACAGTGCAAATCAAAAGCAGGAATATCTGGCAAAGGGATGTCTTTTCATGGATATAACTATTGTTTTGCTCCAGTATGTGTGAAGCTTCCAAGGCACACAATTCTAAGGAATTTTGTAGCTTAATGTTATTACCATATTTAGCACTGTTTATTCTTCATCTAGAAGATTTTTTTTAAAAACATTTCTAGGACCGGATACGCGTGTTGCAACACAACATAAGAGAAATATTTTAGCTTAACTCTATAAATTCTAGATTATTTAGCTTTCTGAAAGATGTGTTGTTTCGTGCTGTTAATGTCACAAGGATAGACCACATAAAAAAAGGCTCAATTTTTCATCACTCAAAAATGAACCCTTTTGCCAATATACTGGAGTATCTCAACTCAGCTCCAGTGAGTGGTATCGGCAGAGGCTCCTACAGGAAAGTTAGAAGGAAAGAATACCTAGATAGGACGGGTTTCATTAATACTGGAAATTAAGACATTTTCTGTATTTTCCCTGAAACTCACACTCAAGAATTTCTTCATCTATTCCGCTGGGGAGCAGACCCTACTGAACACATTCCTTTTCAGTATCAGCAAGTACAAAGAACGTATCATGAAGACTTCTAGGAAATGGGATTTTAACAAACATTTAAGGAGGCACTGGTCCGTAACCTAACACAAGGAGTGTGATGAAGTTCATTACTTTGGCTGTTAGAATCAATGTTCAGTACACAGCAACAGCAAAAGAGGTACCATCCCAGACATGGTAGACATATCTTTTGCACAGCATGTAATTTTAGTCTTCAGATACAATATCACTTTGTGAGCCTTAAACAAGAAAGAAAACTTATCTAGAATAACAATATCACTGAACTTGGTGTCTATGCTTTGCTAAGAGAAAATACCTATCAACCAGCCCCAACAAAGATCTCTATGGAAATAAACCTCTGTGTGTGTGTGTATATATGTATAAAAATTTGGTTTATATTTATAATATAAATATATTTATAAAAATGTAACAACAATACTACTACTACTAATGATAATCTGTCCAAACTGAAGAGCTTTGTACTACTGAGAAAACAAATTGGGTTTATGCCTTCGGGGGTGGAGGGGGGGACGACAGGGAAGTGCATGCATGTGACAGCAGAACCCATTTCGTTTGAGACTGCAACTGAAACCTTGCCTCCTCCGCTTTCTAACTGACCAAAGGTTTACAAACGCTTGCAACTTGGAAGTTGCTGGAGTCTCACAAAAGGTATGGAAGAAAAGAAAGCCTATTGTCAGTAGACGTACATTGGGTAAAAGTGGTCATTAGCACCAGAAGAAAAACGACAGGGGTCTGGCAAGTTGAAAAAATTTAGAGTCACTGCTCAATTCAAAAAGTATTCCACTTTTCAGCATTCAAGTAACTTATGCACATGACTGTTTCAACACTTGCAGTTGAAACATCTAGCCACAGGCTATGCCTGCAGGAAACAGTATTTTTTTCAATTATTTTTCAAGAAGAGTGTCTGAGATTGTATTTGTAGCCATACGTACACGAGATTAGAGTGCCCACCCAGAGAGCAGCAAAGGAGAACGCATCTGGATAGAAACATCCCTCACTATTGCTTCAAAAGGGCACGTTCGATAACATTTAAGAAAATTCAACTCGTTATTCCATCAGCTTACTTTCAATTAGCCACCATCAAAACCTCATTTTAAATGTGTATTCCTGTACTAGAATGCTGAAAACAGAAAACACTTTTGCAACTTAAGACGACTTGCTTTTGAAAGTTTTTTCTGGCTGTACTTAAATAAAAATCATATAGTGAAATCAACCCACATTGCAGTTTGACTACTCTTACACAGAAACAAAAGCTTTGTTTTGGAATGATGTTCAGTAATTTCCTTTAATATAAAATGAATCAGTTATTCGCAAAGGGGCAGGTTTAACAGCAATATTACAGTAAGGTAGAATAAATCTTGCTCCTTCCAATGCCTCTTTGGTTCTTTCAATGTTTTCCTGAAGCGCTGTCCAAACTGCAGTTTCATCAAATTAAAATCACCCAGTCAAAACCAGATTTCATAGAATCACAGAATAGTTTGGGTTGGAAGGGACCTCTAAAGGTCATTGATTTCAACTACAACACATTTGTTTTCATTGCCAGAATCTTGTAACTATACTTGATTTGGAAATTCCTAATTATGTTGCTGAAATCCAGTCAGTTGCTAACAGTTTCTTTGGAAGAATGAGCAAAAGACAGTATTTCTAAATAGGCCACTTTGGACTGCTTAAGCCAAGTCCATGGCTTTCAGAGTTGAGCTAAGGAAAGGCAGTCTTGTCTTCCCTACAGCTGTACGTTCCTAGCCTCCTCCACTTTTCCTGGCTCTGGCCTTCAGGTGACTTGAGTAGGAAACCATTCAAGGAGCTGATGCAGCAGTCCAGCAGCCCAGCCAAGGAAGCCATCAACTTTCAGCCACAGTGGCTCCCTGAAGCATCACCCTGTCCAGTTGCGTGAGCACTGACACAAGGGACAATGAGAAACTGCAGCCGGCTCAACTTAGACCATCAAAAGTTCTGCAGAAATAATCCTAAGTGTTTCTGCCTTCTCATAACATCAGCATTGGCTGAAAAGGGGATACAGAAGTCAAGAAAAGCACCTGGAGTGACCCCTGTCTATTTTAAGTGTTCATATCTGCACAGTAGCGATCCTAATGTAACAAGCTAGATGAGACAGTGCTTCAACAGCCAACCCTTGCTGCAAAACTCCCAAACACAGGCAAGTAGGCAAGTCTGGGCACAGTGTCATGAAATAGTATTTTGCAGCTGTATTTTTTTGAATTAGTGAGACCAAGGTTAGTATGATGGAATGTAAATTGTTATAGTTTAAGCTTTGTAGTAATCTAAAAACACTGAGCACGAGAATTTCAGCAGGGCTTTAACATTTCCCTCACAGCACTTCCAATGAGTGCTCTGAAACACTCATTCTTCTCTCCTTGTGATGTCTCCTTCCTCATTTATTTTTCAACTCTTGCATGAATGTTACACTTGAGTACAACATGGTCTTTTAGAACTAGTGGGCAAGGGTCTCTGCCTGTTGGGTTCCATCTTAGTGTGCTGTACTATCCTAAAAGAGGGGGAAAGAACCCTCTGACATTTTGTCTGGAAGCCATAAAGCCATACTATATCATATTCATTTCCACTAATAAACAAACTTATAAGGGGAAAACACCCCTGAACCACTAAGAGATTTTAATCTAACTCTTTCTGTAAACTGATCCAGCCTGATCTGACTGATCCATGAACCATGCAAAAATCTTCTGAGTTATTTTAAATCCCGATTTGCAAGGTTTTCCTTTCAATTTAAGACCTTTCTAAAAAAGAAGCTAAATTGGTTCAGAAGCTAGTAGACAGTCTTAAAAATAAGCTGCTAAAACAAATTCTCTGTACTTATAAAAATATTCCTATGACCACATACATATCTTGCTTTACTGTTACTTGCAAACAAACTTTTTAGTTCACAGAATGCAAGAGAAATGTAATTCGTGTTTACATGTAGATTACACTCAAATATTTCAATAAACAGAATACACATTGTCATTCTCGTTTGAGAAATCACTGACGACACCAACTATGCTGATAGCATCAGACCTGAATCAGAAAACTGTTCTTACTAATGGCAACATGCTTGTTGCCTTAAAATAACTACTCACAGAGCAGCGCAAAAACAACAGTAACAGAAGTTTGGAATGGCCAAGATGAGACATACGCATAAAGAAAAGCTTAGGGAGAAATGAAAGATGAGGAAGTTGATATGGGCTATTACCACTGAAGGATACCTACACATCTTAATCACATGAAGCTCACAGTCAGGAACAGATAGTTGGTCACAACTCCCAGATATGCTCATGAACATGTCCTGTGGCCTTCATGTCAGCATGACCTTGAAGATTCTGGGCATGCTTTTAATAGCTCTTACAGTAGAACTCCAGATCACAACAGAACCATCACTCTCCTTTGAAAATATTTTATGCAGTTAATAATGCAACTACAAAGGAACCCCTACACAAATTTTGGGGATGTAAGTATGAAAATTTTTGAAGTAAATTCAGAAGACAGACAATTATAGATTAAGATCCTCATCTCAAACTTTTATTTACTTCACTGCATAAGGAGACAGGCTCAGTTTGTCCAAGTCAGCCAGAACAGAAGTAGCATAACACAACAGCAGCCAGCAGAGTTCATTTGTAAACATGTCTTCCAGTCAATGGGCACTCAGTGAAACGGGTTTCTCAGCAATGCCATATAAATGTTTAACCACGGATTGCTGCATCCATATAAGGCAAAGTAGCCAGTATGTCTGATTAAATAGGTAGAAAAATCTGTGCAATTCCTTGAGCCCTGGAACACATTAAGAGAACAGCAATTCCATAAGCCAGGATGCTGGGTATCTCAATGCAGACATGAAGACAGCTATACGGAAAGGGAAAAGGAAGGTACTGGCAGCCCAGGATGGTATCAGTAACCCAGGACTAGAAGTTAGAAAAGGACAGAAGATGGAGACAAAACAGGGGAAAAAAAACGAAGACAGAAACATTTCAAAGAACATGCTTTGCTCTCAATTTGCTTTGAAAACCTAAGGGAGTACACCCAAAACAGTTAAAAGCACATTAAATTGAACATATTTGAGCCTTCAAGCAGCTTATAGTCTCAATTCAGCCTTTTGGTATTCACATTCAGTACTAGGTGTAGTCACAAAATGGCATCTTCGGTTTCCAAAGTAATTCTGCTGTATTAGGGACATAAGTGAGATCTACACCACAGTGAATGAGAATTACTGTAGAGGAGGCCATTTTCTCTGTGACCTTCCCTTATTGCAGGTGTTGGAAGGGGCAAACAAGCCAAACATTGCCAGAACAGAAGAGGACTCTGGTCCCGACTCCTTCCTTTAGCATTCACACTACAAAGCAAAACCACTGGGAGCCATACTTTTTTTGAGTACTCTTACCCGAAAAACTACTTGGGAGGAGGGTAGACATTTTCAAATATAGCAGAAAATCAAGAGATACTGTTAACTCTAATGCCAGTGGGCATTGAGTCTCTTATCTATAAAATATTAGCTACTGTATACCTCATGGAGGTACAGTTAGACTAAAACCTTCTTAATATTTGTGAGCACCGGGCACTGCGCTGACCTCGCAGGAGAATAATCCTTTGTTTTCAACATGACGTTTGAAAACTATGCAATGAGTAAGATAGAGAGCAACATACATAACAATATATTGAACAGCAGCTCACAGCGAGTCAGATTCCACCTGAATGTGATTCCAGCCCTGAGGGGGAAAGTTCACAAAAAAAGAATGTACATCCTACATATAACTACAGCTGACTGAATAAAGACCACACAAACAAGTCTTATTTTAGCATTTTCTAGCTTTGGAGTTTCCTATTTTTGCAATGCTAATCAGAAGAATTAGCTTATTTTCAAATAAGCTACGAATGTGATTGCACAAACTTCTATTTATTACCACCCCACACACAACCAAGTTTTTGCAAGTGAGTGAGGATATACAGCATGTGAACAGAGTAAAGATAAGGTTTATGAAAAGCCACAAAGCACTATGACACACACCACTAAGTATTCGGCAGCTACAAATAGCAATGAAATTCTGCATGGGGACTGAAGAGGAAGTGGAGACTGAACTAAAATGTGTTTGATTGATAAGAAAGTAATCATGAAATTATATAGTTATTAAGGTTGTGACAGTAAGTCCACCCATTCTGTAATGACAAAGTGATTTAAAAAAAACTCCTACAGCAATAAAAAGCATCACTCAACTAGGTTTATGAGAACCCAGGAATATAAATATAAAAGACAGAACCACGCTAAGAAATCTGAAGCATAACAGGATAGGCCATTATTTTTTACAATGAGGGTGGTAAGACACTGGAACAGGTTGTCCACAGAAGTTGTGGATGCCCATCATTGAAGTTCAAGGTCAGATTGGGTGGGGCTTTGATCAACCTAATTTAGTGAAAGATGTCCCTGCCCATGGCAGGGGGGTTGGACTAGATGATCTCTGAAGGTCACTTCGAACCCAAACCATTCTATGATTCTATAGGTGAACAAGTCTGAGGAGCAGAAAACACACCAGTGAAGACTAGGTAATTGTAGGCGCTCCTTGCAGTTACTTCTACAGCCAGGATATATATACATAGATGAATTAACCACCCACGCATTTTACCTGAGTAAAGGATATCTAGAAGAGAATACATTCAAGTGTCAAATAAAAATATGTTTACACAAATGCCTTGCTTCGGTTGAAGTATTTTAGATCCCATGTTACCATTACATTTTCCTAATAATTGTGATAGCTGCATCAATATTAAATTCCACATGGGCAAAAATTTCACACACTGGTCAGGTGCATCAAGAGCTTCCGAAATATTCTTCTGATTGAAGAATTTGAGTAATGACCAGGGTAACACTTGGCTCAAATACAAACAAATAACAACAGGACATGCTACATGTGGGCAGCATCCCCTACAACTAAGACAGTAGTATGACAAGACCATAGAAATTTCTTTCAATATTACTGTGGAGAGCAACAAAATTATCTTCCTGTATTAAACTTCAGAAGGCGGTGGCTCATAAATTAACTGTGAAACTACTAGCTCCTAGGTAATGCGTAGTCAAGTTAGACATTTGCTTGGGAAACTGTTCTGCACTAGCAAGACCCAGCAAAATACTAGCTGAATTTATTTTAAAATAGTAACATAATGGAGGGGTTTGGATAAGTTTGCTGCATCTCTCAGGTCCTTACCCCAAAATCAGGCTATATATCTACAGTAGCAGTATGATAGCCTCTACTACAAACTCCCATTTAATCAGCTTTATTTCTGGCAGAACTATATGTGTAAAGAAATGTGTTGTGTACAAAGATCTCATACCTTTTATACCTGCTTGAAACCATCCTGGAGGAATCCTAAAAGAAACAGAAAGGAAAACTAATTAACATTTTTCTTGTATTTGTACTTCCAAAATACGTTATCACTCCATAGAAAATGAAGCCTGCAGTTAAGAGCAGGAGGCCCATGCCTCAAACAGCTGCTGTACAACTCAGTTTTGCACTATTTTGCTGTCAGGAATAGACAGAATACCAGGATTATTGTCACTGGGTTAACTGCTTCTGAACATCAGCTCAGAACCCTTAAACAACAGCTTCTGGTTACATCTTAAAGCTGGGTGCACTTACTCCCTCCCCGAGCATCCAGAACATGCAGCTTACCAAAACAGCATGCATCCTGCCACCAATACGCTTTCACTACCACTACTAATACAGAAACACTTGTGCACTTTGATAGCTGTTCATCTACTTGTCCAAGAGCAGCAGAGCAAAACTGTTCCGATTCTTCGGCACCACTGCTGTCCCTTTGGACGGAACAAAAACTGAAGCCGGCAAGTAGTACAGGGTTGAGACCCAAATCAATTTATTACATATCAGCTGGGTCATGGTAACTACAGGTATGCTCTTCGCCATGCTAACCGAGGTGCAACCTGGCTCACCTCAGTTTCTCTCAGGCTAACTGAAGTGGTCTTCTGGCATTTGCTGCTAAGTACGTAGGCTAGAAGTCTGTATGTGGATGTTTCATGCACTCAAACGTCAGACAGTGACTTGTCAAGCTATGGTAAGTCGATTTTTGATCATTGCTTTCTAAGCACCTGCAGAGGCTTAATGCATTCTGACTACAAACTTAAAGAATACTCTGCATCTCCTTTGATCATGCTTTGGAAATTATCTTAACAACTGAAATAGTGAGAAACAGAACACCTTTCAAATAACAGTGCACATTTTAAATACAAGTTCAACGGTGCAAAAGGTAAAGAATTTCATTGCTTTTCAGATTCCCACAATGCAGTAGGAAGATGTTTTCACCAAGATTAGGTTTTGTTTTGGGTTTTTTTGTTGGGTTTGGTTTTTTTTTTAATTTGAAAACAATCCATTATGCTTTTATTCTGGCTCTGTAAAGATGGAAATGGAAACAAAAAGAACAGTACGGAAACAGGCTCATTTATTGTTACACAATCCCTGAAAAAACATCAATGCGTTATGTACAAATAAGAAATCCTGAAACAATATATTTGCATCAATAATGCTACGCTTGAGGCTTCCCAATACCAGTCGGATCACACAGAAAAATTAAGACATGCTTCAACTGGTAGATGATGGCTCAGATTAGACAGAGTAAGTCCACAAATATTTTTTAGGATGTTGTAAGAAGAACATGAACCAATTATTTCATTAGTCATAGACAAAACTCCTCCCAGCATCAGCAAATATTAGGTAACGAGTCAGGAAATAATATTTAAGGACTTAATGAACTGAACAGTTGTCTTTACTGGAAAAAATAATGGCAAAGCATGAAATTCTATTTATGACAGTAACTGCAGACAAAGGAATAAATGAGTTCTCAAAACAAGATGCAAGAGGAATTCCATCCACTCTGAAAAACCTACAAAACATTAACTGCCTTCACTGATCAGTGTATTAATGTCTTTGTAAGTAAATAAACAAGCTAAAAAATAGGATAAAAAGATTATTATTATAGAAAATAAAGTTGACAAAAATATTTGTATTACAGAAACAAAACTTGATCTTAAAGTGCATTTTGTTTTATGAAGCATTTTCAACTTCTGCAATATGTGCTACACTTTCCCTAATATAAGCAGAAGAACAATATTCAACAAAGTTAAGTCATGGGAATTATTTGAAGAAACCCACAAAGTAGTGTAAAATCACTGTTTTAACACTGATAACTTTTATCATTGATGACAGCATCTGAAAATTAGCAATTCACAGCTATGAAACAGCAACCTAATTTCACCTCTAAAAGGGCAAAGGAAACAGAATTTTAAACGGTACCAATGCTATTTTTAAAGTTTACTAAGGATACATTATTTTTGAAAGGTCACGGCAGTAGGGGGAGGATTCTGAGGACTGGAAGAAAGTAAATGTCACTCCTATTCAAGAAGGAAGATCCAGGGAACTACAGGCCAGTCCTTAACTCAGTCCCAGAGTAGGTGATGGAACAAATCCTGAAGGACAAGAAAGTGAAATCAGCATGGATATGTGAAGGGAAAATCATAGAATCATTAAGGTTGGAAGAGACCTCCAAGATCATCGAGTCCAACCATCAACCCAACACCACCATGCCCACTAAACCACGTCCCTAAGCGCCTCATCTATCCGTCTTTTAAATACTTCCAGGGATGGTGACTCAACCACTTCCCTGGGCAGCCTGGTCCAATGTTTAACTACTCTTTCAGTAAAGAAATTTTTCCTCACATCCAATCTAAACCTCCCCTGGCACAACTTGAGGCCATTTCCTCTCATCCTTTTGCCAGTTACTTGGGAGAAGAGACCGACACCCACCTCGCTACAGCCTCCTTTCAGGTAGTTGTAGAGAGCGATGAGGTCTCCCCTCAGCCTCCTTTTCTCCAGGCTAAACAACCCCAGTTCCCTCAGCCGCTCCTCATAAGACTTGTTCTCCAGACCCCTCACCAGCCTCGTTGCCCTTCTCTGGACACGCTCCAGCACCTCTATGTCCTTCTTGTAGTGAGGGGCCCAAAACTGAACACAGTATTTGAGCCTGTGCGGCCTCACCAGTGCCGAGTACAGGGGCACTATCACTTCCCTGCTCCTGCTGGCCACACTATTTCTGATACAGGCCAGGATGCCGTTGGCCTTCTTAGCCGCCTGGGCACACTGCTGGCTCATGTTCAGCCGGCTGTCGACCAGCACCCCCAGGTCCTTTTCCGCCAGGCAGCTTTCCAGCCACTCTTCCCCAAGCCTGTAGCGCTGCATGGGGTTGTTGTGGCCAAAATCATACCTGACTGACCTGACAGCCTTCTACAAGGAGATGACTGGCTCAGTGGATGAAGGGAGAGCAGATGATGTTTATCGCGATTTTAGCAAGGCTTTCAACACCTTCCCACATAACATATGTACAGGCAAACTGCTGAAATATGGACCAGGTAAGTAGACTGTGAGGTGCAAAGAAAAGTGACTGGACTACCGGGCTGAAAGAGTTATGAACAGCAGCACAAAGTCCAGCTGGATGCTAGTCACCTACAGGGACCAGTACTGTTTAACATCTTCATTAATGACCCGGATGATGGGACAAAGTGCACCCTCATCAAGTCCGCAGACTACCCAGAACTTGGATGAGCGGTTAATAATACATCAGATGGCTGTGCTACCATGCAGAGGGACATTGACAAGCTGGAAAAATGGCCTAACAGAGACCTCATGAAGTTCAAAAAAAGGGAAACACAAAGTCTTGCACCTGGAGAGGAATAATCCTAAGTACCAGTACATGCTGTGGACCGGTTGGAAAGCTACTGTGCAGAAAAGGACCTGGGAGGTCCCGGTGGACACGAAGTTGATCATGAGCCATCAATGTGCCCTTGCAGCAAAGAAGGCCAATGGCATCCTCTGGATGCCTTGCCAGCAGGTCAAGGGAGGTGATCCTTCCCCTCTGCTCAGCCCTGGTGAGACTCCTCACCCAGGTGGAGTGCTGGGTCCAGTTCTGGGCTTCTCAGTATGAGAAAGACATGCTGGAGAGGCTCCAGCAAAGGGCCACACAAATGATTAAAGGTTTGGAGCATCTGACACATGAGGAGAAGCTGAGAGTGCTGGGAATGTTCAGCCTGGAGAAGAAAATGCTCAGGAGGTATCTTGCCAATGTGTATAAACACCTGATGGGGTAAAGAAGATGGAGCCATACTCCATTGTGCCCAGAGAAAGGATAAAAGGCAATGGACAAACTGAAATACAGGAAATTCTACTTAAACGTAAGAAAATACTTTCTTACTGTGAGATTAAACACTCTAGCAGGTTGCCTAGAGAAGTTACGGAGTTTCTATCCACGGAGATAATAAAAACCCAACTGGTCACAGTCCTGAGCAATTTGCTATGGTTGACCCTGCTTTGTCCACAGGGGTTGGGCTAGAGACTTCCTGAGATCCCTTCCAGTCTTAATGATTCTGTTTCTGCTCTGCTCATCTGAGTTTTCCATCTGCATTCTTCTCTCAGCTTAGTGAGTTTCAGTGAACACACACCTAACATCTGGCAGCTTCAAAGGATTTCATTCTGCCCTCTAATATTGTTATCTAGGGACTTGCCTATCTGAACGTTTACATACAGAGGACTGTAATGGCCTGATTTTTAGCTTTAAGACAGTCAGCAATGACTGACAAGGTGATTTGACTCTGACGTACATGAAGAGATTCGAGTACTTTCATCTAATACATTAAGATACATGTTCACTGTATATGAAAACTGAAATGCCCTATCAGTAGTATCAGTCACAGCTCTTGGTGGTGATGGTCTCAGAAACATCCTGGTTGTCCCATTAGCCATAGACAAGTGGTTCAACTCTCTTTTTAAGCTTGGATGGAGAAAGAGAGACATGTAGCTGACTGGGTCAAAATTTTGCCTAACTGTCTGTAGATACAACTAGGAATTTTGGGCTCTAAGCTTACTCAGTTCTTATTTTTTTAAACAGCTTCTTTTTAGGAAAATGCTGAAGCCTTGAGGTTATGGCCATACTTCCTGGTGAACAGAAGTCTCTGCTTACGGTGAAAGGCAGAACTCACAAGAAAGGGAGAATTTGCACGTGACATTGCAGTCTAGTGAAGCACACATACCCTTGTACAAAGAAATCTCTGGATCTTGGATGCTTGTTTTCTACTCTAGACACCAAAGGGATACAATGTATGCATCATATACCCTCAAATTTGCTAAGACCTTTTCATACAGTAAATGCAAATATAGGCATATAGCAATTTATATACATAGACTCGTACATTTACCTCAATAGGAGACTTCTAAAAGTTTGGCATTACTATTCAGAAAAGCCAGTTCTTCAGAAAAAGAAAGCTGGGAAAGCAAACAAATGCTCAGGGACAAAGTACATGGCAAAT